TTTAATATCATATCACTTGAGGAACAATAATGATGAAAGTTCTTTTTGGTTCTATTATTTTCTTATATACTTGCTTAGATAACAAGATCATATTTGTATCTGTTGACTTTCTATGATGATTTAGATATGTAAGTGGCAATAATTAATATATATTAAAAACAGATTTATTTTCCTGACTTATAATATTAACAGCAGTATATATGACTGTGAGGTTTTCCTTCGATTTTAATTTTCACTTTTATAATATTCCTTATTTTACAATTTTGTTTTTTGAGACAGAGTTTCACGTTTGTTGCCCAGGGTGGAGTGCAGTGGCGAGATCTTAACTCACTGCAACCTCTGCCTCCTGGGTTCAAACTATTCTCCTGCCTCAACCTCCCCAATAACTGGGATTACAGGCATATGCCACCATACCCTGCTAATTTTATATTTTTAGTAGAGACGGGGTTTCTCCATGTTGGTCAGCTGGTCTCGAACTTTTGACCTCAGGTGATCCACCCTCCTTGGCCTCTCAAATTGCTGGGATTACAGGCGTGAGCCACCTTTCCCAGCCTCCAAATTTGTTTTTTCTTCTGTGAGACAGTCTGGCTGTGTCACCCAGGCTGGAAAGCAGTGGCATGATCTCAGCTCACTGCAACCTCCGTCTCCCAGGCTCAAGTGATCCTTCCACCTCAGTCTCCCAGATACTGGGACTACAGGCATGCATCACCATGTCTGGCTAATTTTTTGTAATTTTTGTAGAGACTAGGTTTCACCATGTTGCCCAGGCTGGTCTGGAACTCCTGAGCTCCGCCTAACTTGACCTCCCAAAGGGCTGGGATTACTAGAATAAGCCACCACACCCATATTATTTTCAAAATTCTTTACAAAGCGTTTCTCTTACATTCATAACATACACCGCTATTTTAAACAGACTGACTTTTGAAAATAACATAGATAAAGCACTAAATGGGAACATCAGAACAGGTTAAAAAAAGGCTGGAATATTCTTCAGGATTAGGGACATTGAGGTGTTTTATTTATAAAATGATATTTAAATTTTAATAATAGAATGGCTGTACTTTTGTTTGGAGTGTTTAAATCTTCTGTTTAATATTTAAGACCAGTTCTGCACAGAGGTTTTACAGAGAGGCTAATTGTTGTATGAAAAGGAATATTATTCTGGAATTTTGAAATAGAGAAGAGAAAGGAAACTCACAGCCTACCTAGGTTTTTTTTAGGGAGTGTGTGTGTGTGTGTGTGTATGTGTGTGTGTATGTGTGTGTGTGCGCGCCAGTCACAAGATGGGTTTATTCTTGAATAAACTCTAGCCAAATTATTTTTCCTGAATCTTCTAATACCTGAATTTACATAGTCCATGGTTGTGTCTAAACTAGATACTCAAGAGAGCTTGGTTTGTTTTAAAGGCCTTTAATTAGTTATATTTACACCGACAAATAGAGCAGCAGCTTATTTAAAAATTAAATATATGTAGAACAGGGAAGCAGTATCTAATTATGTTTCTGGGTCAGGCTCTGCTACGTAAGATTAACTTAAAATTGGGGTTTGGCAAGTAATTTGTATCAAAATCGCAGCAGGAGTTTGTTGCATCTAACAAGCTGATTTGGAAATTTGCACGGAAGGGCAAAGGATCTAGAACAATCAAAAAGACCTTGGAAAAGGGTAAGAAAGTTGGAGGGCTTCCATATCCCTATTTTAAAAAGATACTATAAAGCTATAGTAATCAAGATATTAGGCAACTCACATGGGTATAAATTTAGAACAATGAAGTATAATTAATTACAGTTGGTCCTTGAACAACATAAGGGTTAGAACCCCTGCACAGTGGAAAATTTACTTAAAACTTTTTACTCCCCCGGTACTTAACAACTAATAGTCTACTGTTGACTGAAAGCCTTACCAATAACATAAACAGCTAATTATCACGTCTTTTGTATGTTATATGCAATACACTGTATTCTCATAATAAACTAAGTTAGAGAAAAGAAAATACCATTAAGACAATCATAAGGAAGAGAAAATATATTTACTACTCATTAAATGAAGTGGATCTTCTTTAAAGGTCTTCATCCTCATCTTCACGTTGAATTGACTGAGGAGGAGGAGGGAGAGGAGGGATTGGTCTCAGGCATGGCAGAGGTGGAAGAAAATCCACATGAGTGGATCTGCACAGTTCAGACCTGTGTTGTTCACGGGTCAGTTACAAAGAGTTTAGAAATAAATCCTTCATTTTCTAGGCGATAGATTTTTAACAATGGGGCCAAAACAATTAAAGGAGGCAAGGATAGTCTTTTCAATAAATGGTGCTGAGACAATTGGATATTCATATGTAAAAAGATACATTTCATCCCTTACCTCTTATTATACCCCCAAATTAACTCAAAATGAATGACAGCTGAAAATGTAAGAATTAAAAACTCTTAAACATTTAGGAAACTTCAACAACACAGGAGAAGGTCTGCAGGGCCACGGATTGGGAAAGATTTCATAAGTATGATCTCAAAATTACAGTCCTTGAAAGAAAAGAATTAATCAATTAAAACTCATCAAAATTAAAACCTTTTACACTTCAAAAGACACCATTGAGAACTTAAAGTGCCATTTGTTGAGAAAACTGAAAGACAAGCCATAAACCGGCAGTGGAGATTCGCCAACCATATTCCTGATAAAAGACTTTCATCTGGAAAGTATGCAAACAAACCACTTACTATTCAATAAGAAGCAAAGAAATTATTTTTTAACAGGCAAAAATATATGAATAGACATTTCTCCAAAGAGAGTGTACATGAGAAGCTATTTAATGTCATTAGTTGTTAGACATTAGCTAAATGCAAATGAAAACTACAATGAGGCCAGGTGCAGTGGCTCGTGCCTGTAATCCCAGCACTTTGGGAGGCCAAGGTGAGTGGATTGCTTGAGGCCAGGAGTTCAAGACCAACCTGGCCAACAGGGCAAGACCCGTGTCTACTTAAAATACAAAAATTAGCTAGGAATAATTGTATGCACCTGTAGTCCCAGCTACTTGAGACGCTGAGGCACGAGAATTGTTTAAACCTCGGTGGTGGAGGTTGTCGTGAGCCAAGATATCATACCACTGCACTCCAGCCCGGGTAGCAGAGCAAGACTGTCTCAAAACAAAACAAAACAAAACAAAAAAACACCACAATGAGACACCATTTCACATCCATTAATATGGCTATAACAAAGATATTTAGCAAGTGTTGGCTAGGTAATAAAGAAGAAAAGACTCTACATTACTGTTGGTGAGAATGCCAAGTATTGCAGCTGATTTGGAAAATAGTCTGTTAGTTTCTTAAATCATTAAACATAAATTTACCGTATGAAACAGCAGTTTCACCCTCAGGTATCCATGCAATAGAGCTGAAAACATATCCATGCAAAAAACAGTACACAAATAAATGTTCATAGCAGCTTTATTAATAATCAATAAGTAGAAATAGATGTCACTCAACAAATAAATGGATTTAAAATACGTGTTATACCCATACAATGGAAAATAATTTAGCCATAAAAAGGAATGAAGTATTGATGCATGCCACAATATGGATGGACACTGAAAACGTGCTAAGTAAAATAAGACAGACACAAAAGACCACATATTATATGAGTTCATTTATACGAAATGTCTAGAAAAGACAACAATTCTTATAAAGACAGAAAGTGAATCAGCAAGGCTGTCACACCCACGCACCTACCCAGGTCTGGTTTTAAAGGGTATTAAGCCCCATGAAATGAACATTATTTAACTTTTGTTTCATGTATGGAAACAGCAATATCAAGTCTTGGTTTTGAAATATGTTTAACCTCTTCTGAGTTATGTAGAACAGAAGAATGTTTTTCATTTGCAAGTGTTGGAGATGACAATATTTTCCCTCTCCTTTAATCCGCTTATCCTAGAACCCTATAGGAAGACAAAGACTGTTTTAATTGACACAGTTCAAGTTATTGATAGTGAGATATGCACATAGGGGCTTCATCTGTCTGTAAAAAGAAAGCAATGGAGCCAATTACTTAATTCCAGTAAAATTAAATGTTTACGCCTTTTAAATCTGGAAACTATAAAAAACAAAGCGGTGCTCTGTGCACAAGGAGCCTAAGCTAGTTTTTGCTATCCTTAAGGGCCTCTTCCTGCATTTTGGGTATATTAAAATTTCTATGCAGATCTTATTGAGGTGATCAAGGTAGGTGACTTTGATTTTTATTTTCTTCAACAAATTCAAGTACCAATAACTTTCAAATGATATTTAATAACTATTTTAAATAGTCTATAAAGTTTTGTCCTGACTTAAATACTTATTTCAAGTAGTAGATTTTAATAGAAGAAAACAAGAGTGAATAATGGGTAGCAGTTCTCTGAACATGGAGTAGACGTAAATCTTAGTGATTTAAATTAGTGACATTCCTGACTTTTTGAGATTGCATGTTTTTAACTTTTTAATGCATGAAATTAACGTCAATTTTATGATACTTTGATTAAAGGCCTTTCATGTTTACTGTGTGTTTTTGTTTGCCTTATGAAAATGTCTAACCATAATGTATCAGTAACATTTCAAAAATTTATTTAAAGTATAACATGTTAAAATCAGAGGACCGTTGAATACGCTATATGCATTTCTTTAAAGGATGTGGGAAATATCTTTTCTAATAATTTAATTTTCTCTTTTTTTAAAACAACTCACGTTAGCATTTTTTTTACAGTAGCATCATTTTAACCCCCAACTGCATATTCACAGGATGTGTAATAATTTTTGCAAGTAACATTTTGAATTTGTTCTTCTTGACATCTTTATGTTTATATGCATTTTGCATTTCCCTATCTCATTTTTTTGAAATCCAAATGTAACCGATTTCAACTTTTTGTGTTACATTCTTTTTTTTCTTTTACTGAGTAGCATCTCTCTCTTTTCTGAATTTTTTGCAAACCTGTTGTTTTTGAATTCTCTTTTTTCCCTTTATTTTCTTTCTCAATATGACCCCAGGAGCCAACACAAAGAAAAACGCAGATGATATAACCAGTAATGACCGTGGTGAAGATGAAGGTATTTTTTGTTTTTTCAAAGCTCAACCCTGATGCATGATTTTATATCTATCTATCTCTCCTTTTTTTTTCATTTCAATCTGTTTTTCCTCCCCTTATTTAAAACTAGTACACTTTGGTGTGCTGCTTTAATTATATTTTCTTCTTGTATAGAAACCACTGTCATTTTTAATCCCAGTTACCATGTACAGTAGACAAATCACCATAAGAAGTATAAACGTTGTTTCTAGACATGAAAAGAGCAATGAACTTCTGTTTACAGAGAAGCTCATCTTTGTTTCTTTTCTTTTTTTTTTCCTTGGCTTGGTCACAAGAAGAGAAAATGGAAATTTAAAACTTGCATGTATAGTCTCTTTTCTCTCTTCCAAATTTTATTTTATAAGTTAATATACTACTTTGGAGCTTTGGTCTCCTTAGTTATTTTTATAAATTGCAAAACTCTGGAGCACCTTAGAAGAATCTTTTTTTGGGGGGGCTGGAATATCAGTTTTTTTTTCTTCACAAACATTGATTCCAACATAGGTTTCTAATAGTCTGCTCACAGTGAAGTACATCAAAACGTGTTTTAACGAGATGCTGTTGTTAACGAGTCCTGCTCTTTCAGGACTGCCTGTTTCAGCATTTAAAGAAAAAAAAAGATAAGAGTATCTCAGAACTGAAAAAGAACAAAAAGCTAGCCATGTGCATCTTTCTTTTCACACCACGGCTGTTTCATAAACATTTTTCTCCTTAAAATATTTTGCTGCTAGGAAGTTTCTTCTTAAAGTTACCAAATTGCTCAATACATTATCTACCAGAAGTGAAAGGATTTTTTTTAAAGATGGTAGGTCTGAGGCACTCATGTAGACAACTCACACACTGCTTTTCTGCTCTTTCTGTAGAAGAAATTATTATTTTTTTTTTTTAAAGAGGAGAAGCAACAAAAAAGTACTCAAGCCCTTCTTCATTGGTAAGACTCTATAGGATTAGCTAAAAGCACATGTTTTCCCATCTTGGTAACAAAATACATGGAACTCCATTTGTTTTTCCTATATAATAAGGCTCTGGCTGGACATTTGGGTGTCTGTCTGAAAGGCAACTTAAAGCCCAAAAGTGAGTGCTGAATTATCCTTGCTGGTCAAGCCCCACCCACTTCTCTGAAAGGGTCTTTTGACCAGTCCTTGTAGTTGCTCCCCTCCTTGCTTATCTTCATAAATCAACTGTTGTCCAAGAAAAGAAGTCTTGCCGACACCCTTTCCATGCCTGGTCTTCCCTTAACATTTTTATTATTATGATTTTTACTGAACCCATAGGGCTGTCATTACCTTAAGCAGCTCTCCAAGAGATCCCAATTCTGATGGACACAGAAGATCAGAATCTGTGCCTGCGCAGGTACCCCCTTCCCCTTCTTTGATAAGGGCTTCCAAATGCCTGACATTTTATCGGTATTGAGCAGATACATAAAAATGAAATAAACTTTTGTTGTCTCGTACCTTATACTGCTCTAATTTGTATCCTGTTTGGCCTTCTCTTTTTAATGCATTTCCTTTTGATAATTAGGATCTGTTTTCACAATGTTCCCAGTGAATGTTTATTACCATTAAAATGCTATCTAATTTTTATTTAATATTGATAAGTTATGATTTTTTTACTTTGCATTAATATGACAACTGGTTATTACTTCCACAAGTTCAAGAGAATCTTGTTCTATTTTTTATGAAAGGTAAGAGATGTGAATCTCATAGATTTTCCAAGGGAGCGCCTTAAAGCAGCCCTTCAAAATCTCTACTTATTCATTTTTCCACAATTTACCACCCAACAGCTGGTAATGGTAAAATAAATGAGGCCAAAAACAGCAAATTAGGAACCAGAAAGAAGCAGTGGATCATGAGAAAAGCAATTTCTTATTCATAGAGCAAAATACATTTCCTGTAGTGTATGATGAATAAATTATTAATAGAAGATTTTTACTTTATATTTGAATTTTATATGGGAAAATAAAAGCCACTTCTCTGCCGTGGATTAAATATCTACAAATAAATACTTGGATAACTTGACACTCTTTTGTGTGCTTTACTGTGACCAATGGATATGTCATGTCTTCTATACGCACCCAGTAAAATTGTGATCGTAATTCATTCAGATTGTAGCCACTGTCCAAATGGTGGTAATTCATATCCTCAGAATACCTTTCTGGTATTTCAAAAGTGTCCCTATGAATTATGAGGGGGGAAAAAAGCGAAAATAAATATGCATAGATACTTGGGTTTTCTTTTAGTAACAGAGATATTTAAATTATGTGTACACACACCTACACACATACACACACACACACACACACACACAGACTTATCCGTATCCAGAAATATTTATAGTTGAAGTCAGTCCTCTAAAGATTAAATGCAGTCCTAATGACAGGTTAATGTTATAGACAGATTATTTCATCATGACTTCAGAAAGCAGGCTCTACAGATGGTCTCCAACTTTCTATCATCACAGATCATTGTTTTTACATTATTGTTAATTTAAATAATAAACTGAATTACTGAGAGGAATCATTGGTTGCCTGTCACAATGGGGGTTTATAGACCCTGTGAAAATATAAAGCATTTAAATAATTTGGATTCTTTTGCCATTTTTTGTTACATCTCTTTTGTTTTGTCTCTTAAATACGTTAGGATGTTACTATGATCACTGGAACAAAGGCGTTTGCTTCAACATCTTTTCTCTTTTTCCCGTGTTTCTGTTCTGTTCATAATTTTTAACTGTTGATTTTGTTATCTTGTCATTATCCGCCCCTTAATGATAATTTATAGCTTCGGTTCAACTTTTATGTTTTTATTGTTACATTGAAAATGAATCTGTACACTCACCTGTGAATTAGGATGCAACTATGTTAAAATTAATTATAATTTTGAAGTTGATTTAACACTTAATTAGAAAACAAAATCTATTTTGTCAAGGGTCCCATGTGCTTCTTCAATTTAAATCACATTTTAGGGTTTGAGCAAAATTTAGGAAATACGTACTTTACTTAAAACCTGTTTTTGTAGTGCTTTAGATATATATATAGATAGATGCTTACATGAGCAGAGTATGCCAAATGTCTGTATGCTTCTCAAAATACCATTTCCAGAAATAGACAGTGTAACAGCATTGATCACTTTCCTTAGAAACTCTTATCAAGGGTCATATCATCCATAAAAATAAATGTGCTTGATTCAAGTCAAAATAGGGAAATCAGTGAATCTCCTTTATTCTTAATTTAGCATCGGTGAGTCAGTGTGATTCTTTATTGTGTTTTCTTACTTGGCTTTTTTCCCAGATATTCATGATCAGAACAGTAAGAAGCCGGTTATGGTCTATATCCATGGGGGATCTTACATGGAGGGCACCGGCAACATGATTGACGGCAGCATTTTGGCAAGCTATGGGAACGTCATTGTGATCACCATTAACTACCGCCTGGGAATACTAGGTAAGTGATTTCGTCGTGCACATCACTGAGCAGGAGGAAACCTGAAAGGTTCACTTGTTATTTTGACGGGGCTCGTGGATTTGAATCCTGTTATTCCAATTCCTGGATAATTCCACTTTCCGGTGTTTATGTGATCAGATATGTTTATTCCTTTTACTGCCGTCATGCAGCATGGCTATTTCATTGTTTTATTATTATTGTTTTAGCTTGCAGTTTCAGATCAAATAATTTTATTTCATGGAACCTGAATGCCTCCTCAAACCAATGCAAACTTTAAGATCATCAAGATGAAATGAGATTTTATTTAAAGCACGTTTCTTCATTGGAGTTAAATGAATATGTGTTTTCTTCATAGACCTGTATAATGAACACATATTTGGTGATATCATAGTTGGGAATGGCCATAGATCTTAGCTTTCTTTTCTGGTTGTGTAATTGTATGAATCACTATATTGTGTGGAGGAAAAGATTTTATCCAATTCTCTAACTGATTATGTTGAGCCTTTGGAAGATATGTTGTTTTGGTTCCGTTGCATTTGCATGTAAGTGGAAATTTAAGTTTAGTTCCTCTTTGTTTAGATGTTTCATTGATTTTCTTCTAATTATAGGTTGGAAAATTATACCTCTTCAGGGTAAGATTTTAATATGTTCTTAGATGGCCTTTCCCGCTGTTGCCTAGTTTGTGAATAATATTCTTAGACCTATGTAAAAACATTTGTTTTTCAGGCAAAAATGCATTAAAGTGGTGTAGAAAATAAAAATTTTAACAAACTAGCCATGAGAGAGATGTGTATATTGGTTGCAGTGTGATTATGATACAATAGAAAATACCAAATAAAATGGAGGCTGGGCGTGGTGGCTTTTGCCTATAATCCCAGCACTTTGGGCGGCCCAGGCAAGCAGATCACTTGAGGTCAGGAGTTCAAAAACAGCCTGGCCAAAGTGGTGAAACTCTCTCTCTTCTAAAAATATAAAAATTAACTGGGCATGGTGGCAGGTGCCTGTAATCCCACCTACTCAGGAAGCTGAGGAAGGAGAATCTCTGGAACCCCGGAGGCTGAGGTTGCAACAAGCCAGGATCCCACCACTACACTCTAGCCTGGGTGACTGAGCTAGACTTGTCTCAAAAAAATAGATAAATAAATAGCAAAATAAAATGGACTAAAGGACGTCTGTCAACCAAAAAATATGGCTGAAAATGTTTTCTTCAAATATGTACATATTACCAAGAATTTTCTCTTTCTTTCTTTCCTTCCTTCCTTCCTTCCTTCCTTCCTTCCTTCTTTCTTTCTTCTTTTCTTTTCTTTTTTATTTTTATTTTGAGACAGAGTTTTGCTCTGTCACCAGGCTGGAGTGCAGTGGTTTGATCATGGCTCACTGCAACCTCTGCCTCCCAAGTTCAAGCAATTCTCCTGCCTCAGCCTCCTGAGTAGCTGGGACTACAGTTGCACGCCACCTCGCCCAGCTAATTTTTGTTTTTTTAGTAGAGATGGGGTTTCACCATGTTGGGCAGCATGGTCTCCATCTCTTGAGCTCGTGATATGCCCGCCTCGGCCTCCCAAAGTGCTGGCATTATAGGCATGAGCTACTGTGCCCGGCCGAAAATATTTTATTTTCAATCAGATGACTTATTTCATTTTGAATGGTTTTTCTTTTTATTCCTATGTGAAAAGATTAACCTGTAAAAAACTCTAAGAGGTGGTATAAGAAACCCTAAGAGAAACGCATTTCTTACTTTGAAATTCAGGTGACTCACAGGTGTTGGTAAAGTTGTATCTTTTGAAACATTGATAAAGAACTCAAAATTCCAGGTTGGTTTTTGCATTAAAGAAAATAAACACCACCAAAAAACATTTTAGTGTCAAAAACTTTGTTGTATTGCTGGCTTTATTTCATATATTTTTTTGTAGTTTTCTGTGAGCCACATCTTGGTGGAATAATGTCTCTAAACTTTTGCATAGCGATGATTGCATGCTTCACTGAATATTTTTCAGAGGCTCTGGATAGTTGCTTTGGCTACTAGTGTTGGAAACAGGAAATTGTGCTTCTTGATGTTTTACAAAAGGTCCATTCTGACAAAGAGGTGGAAGGAGGAAAGAACGTGTGAGGGCACTGCACAGGCCCTCTTCAAAGGGAGCAGTGTGTGCCCTGCCCATAGCACGGCCACACAGAAGAAAGCTTGGGCATCCTTTTCTGAAGGAAGCAGTGGGCATCGAGCAAATTCTTGCTTTGCTGGAATCACAAAATATTCTGTTACATGCTTGATGGATCGATGTGTCTGATAAGATTGAGTTTCAAAAGAAATTGATCTCCTTTTCCTCCTAAAGGTCAGTTGTATCAAGCAACTCTATACTAGGATTTCTTATCAGTTTTGTCCCTTCCCGAATCAATTGCACATCTTGCAAATTAGCCTGGAAATTATACACACTTATTTTAGCAAAAAAAAAGCTCACTGAAAAGTTGTAAGTCTACTTTTTAACATGGAGAGCTTTTAAAAGTCGTAAGGTAACAGAAAGCTGTAAAATTGGTGGGGAAGAAATAAAAGAAGCGATTTAGCATCTCTATGCCAGTCTATTCACATTCCTCCAGTGAGCTACTGTGGAACAGCCAAGCACACTACAGACCCCCTTTCATTTGATGGAATGAAATGTGCCAAGTTTGCCGATTATACAGGACGACAGAGACTTTAAAATGTGACTGTGTTGATCTTTATCATGGATCTTGCATTTACTACTGTCCTCTTGAAACTGGCTAGGTGGCATTTACCTTTTGCTTGCAGGAAACTACATTATTGGTCTTGAAAAAAAGTTTTTAAACCTTTGGCATCCAGATATTTAAAAAGATAATCAAATCAAATACACAGCTGGCACTGCAATGGTCATTGCAGTGAGTGCTTTTCATACGAATAGATACATTTTTAAGCAAAAAGTTGAAATATTCTTTGAGTTCTTTTTCTTCCAATTAAAGTCATAAATGTTATCTTCCTACCTTATAAATGGAAAAATATTGTTTTAGATTATAGATTATTATTTTTAAATGGAGTAACAAATGTTATTTTCTGTTACTCAAAAGAGAAGATTAAAAGGATGGAGTATGCCAATGATGGAAGTGGAATCTGGCATTGGAAAGGACATAGATTGCAGCTTGAGACAGACGGAATCTAACGTTTCCTCTCCCTCCATCACGAGAAAGTCAGCAAGCATTAGTTGTAGAAGGCAGTGGTCTCTTCCTTGCAAGGTTGTTGTACAATATAAAAATTCCATGGTTCAAAATACCACACTTTACCTCATAAGCATATAATCTGTACAATTACTTGTCAATAAAAAAATAACCTTTTTTTTGAGATGGAGTCTCATTCTTCTTGCCCAGGTTGGAGTGCAGTGGCATGATCTCGGCCCACTGCAGTATTTGCCTCCTGGATTCAATAGTTTCTCCTGCCTCAGCCTCCCAGTAGCTGGGATTAGAGGTGCCCGCAACCACGCCTGGCTAATTTTTGTATTTTTAGTAGAGACGTGGTTTCGCCATGTTGGCCAGGTTGGTCTCGAACTCCTGACCTCAGGTGATCCACCCACCTCGGCCTCCCAGAGTGCTGGGATTACAGGTGTGAGCCACCATGCCCAGCCAAAAAATAACCTTTTAAAAAAGGTTTAATAGACTCATGTAGATGAAGTCTCATAGGCTCTCAGCAGCAACCATTATATCCAGTCATGCTACAATTTCTAATGTTATTAATATCATTATACATTATATTAATACTACTGTCTATGCACAGTAAGAATTATACCTGATCCAATCTGTAATGGATAATATCTATCAAATATTGGCAGCCAGACTGAACCACATTAATTAAAAAAAATCATTATAAGACACTTCTAGACATTAAATAAATCAGAAGGTCATGTTTGCTTTTTAAAGTATGAAGGTTTTTTTATTATCATCAGAACTGTGCTACACAATCTTGCTAGCCGTTGCCCATATAATTTATAATCCAATCCAGGACATGTTTGAAAGTTGCTTATGTGCTATAAACTGGGATTGCCCCAGGCAAATTGAGACGTACATAGCTATAAAGTAATTATTTATATCTACATGAAGTATCTTCTGATGGAATTGGTGTTCAGGTTGTTTTTAAGGAAGCTACACTTCTCTAAACAGATTTCCTATGTATTCTGCTGTACACCCTTGTCACCAGAAAGGGGTCATAATCCAGACCCTAAGAAAGGGTTCTTGGTTCTCATTCAAGAAAGAATTGGAGGTGAAAAGTGAAAGTAAATTTATTAGGGAAGTAAAGAAATAAAGAATGACTGCTCCATAGACAGAGCATCCCTGAGGGGTGCTGGTTAGCTATTTTTATGATTATTCTTTGATGATATGCTAAACAAGTGGTTGGTTATTAATGAGATTTCCAGAAAAGGGTGCCAATTCCTGGAACTGAGGGTTCCTCCCCTTTTTAGACCATTTAGGGTAACTTCATGACATTGCCATGGCATTTGTAAACTGTCATGGTGCTGGTGGGAGTGTCTCTTATAATTACCGCATAATGAGCTGTGAGGGTGACCAGACGTCTCTCTAGTTGACACCTTGGTTATAGTGGGTTTCGGCTGGCTTTTTTACCACATCCTTTTATCAGCAAAGTCTTTGAGACCTGTATCTTGTGCTGACCTCCTATCTCATCCTGTGACTAAGAATGCCTACCTAACCTCCTGGGAATGCAGCCCAGAAGGTCTCAGCCTCATTTTACCCAGCCCTTATTCAAGATGGAGTCGCTCTGATTCAAATGTCTCTGACATATATATTCAATAATTTGGAATGCCTAAAGTTCACCAGTACCTCTCAGATTAGTCATTGTCAGGGTGTATGGTGTTCCTGTCTGCTCAGAAGCCAGCAAAATCCTTGCTGAGCTGTACAAGCCACGGCATTTGCCTGGTCTCATACCAACTTGAGTACCTATCCCCTATCACCCATTCACCTCACAACATCCATACATATCATTTACCCCC